TTGGTGGCGTGGTTGGCAGATACAATGTGTTATTTCCCTGTACGCTGTACGCCAATGGTTTATTGTGAGTTGATGACGGTTTCGCTGAAGTTCGAGCGGGCGGAGTGTGGTCATCGGTTGCCAGTCCCGTTGCTGGCGTACCCGATTGCGACATATATGTGGCGGCGCAGGACATCGCATGCGCGCGCTGATGGAGACCCACGAGATTTTTGCGTCGAGCGCACTCAGCCCAGAGATTGAGTCGACGTGTTTCGGTACTTCAGGTAATTCAAGAAAAGGAGTATCTTTTTATCCCGCAAGTGATGCATGAATCAGTGGTGCCGCGTCGTGCACATCTTCGGCTGGCGCCAAGCTGAATGCAGCGCGGGGGGGTTATCCTCGCGATCGTGCCCCCGTGGCGGCAGTGACCCAGCATGCTGAGCATGGTGTATTAGCCGAGGTGGTGCCGCGGAAGTCTGGGATCACGGTCGATTGGCGGTGTCATTGAGAGAGGGCAGTGGGCGCGCTGAGTTCCTGGAGGTATTTGAGGCGCAGCTCGACGGCCTGCAATTTCAGTGGCGTCGAAATAGTGCGAGCCCAGAAAAAATGGACGTGCTCGAGCGCTGCTTGGTGGAAGCTGGCGAGTCTTGTTTCGCCCGCGCACGCAGACCTCGCCCTGGCGCTTCGGCGGGTTGTCGACGCAGGCGAGATCTTCTCACGCAGCGAGTTCGAGCAAGGAGTGGGGAGTTCCAGGCCGCTCCCGAGGAGGTCCACCATACTGGCGTGGAGCTCCTAGAATTGACGCGCCAGCTATTCTTGGATCGACGACGTGCTTCCCGCAGATTACGACAGCAGCTCGCGTCTGAGGCGGTAGATCTCTGGCATAAAAGGGGGCGCGCAGCAGAGGAAATGAGTTTGGCTCGACGCGCTGCTCGTGCAAGGTGCGGGCCCAAGAGGCGCGATTTTCGGCGCGTTCGTTGTGCGCCGCCCTGTCGCGAAGCATGGCTTGACGCGCGGAGTGAGAGTGGGCCTGGGGGGGGCGCGGGGGCGCAGGGCGAGTCGCGGGGGGACTGGGGGGGCTCGATGGCGGGCGCGGGTGCGATAGTCGCGGATGTTACGAACTATTAGAGACAGTCAAGCAGGACATCCAGGAGATTCGTAAGTCTGCAAGGCGAGCCTCGAAAAGGCGCCGCTCGAGATTTCGCGCCAGCGCGCGCGGCCGAACTGCCGCGCGCGGGCTCGCGCAGGAGTAGGAGCTAACACAGAACTGATATATCCGCAGGGCCGTTGGTTTACGCTTACTCCGGCGTTGGCAAGGGCGCGGGGGCGCCGAGAGGCCCCGCGGCATTGGATTGAGTCTCGAGGGGCGAACGCGCCAAAAAAGCTGGGGGGGGGCCCGAGGGGGCCCGCGCGGCGCATGCCCGACCGTGCGCGGGCACACCAAGTTCCCGTCAAAAAAAACGGAGGGTTGCTCTGCCTTTTGCCGACCGTGGGCGCGAGCGTCGCCGGTGAGAGAGCGCAGTGCTTGTTGCGCTAGAGACGAGATGGATGGCTGGAAAGATGGGGGTCACACGTTGCAGCAGTTTCAAGGACATGGGCAATTCATTTGCCTGCCCCAGCTGGTCTGAACTGGACGAGACAGTCTCTGTGGCGGTGGCTGAGTACGATCGGGCACTGCGTTGTCAGAGGTACCGCTTGGCCATCATTGAGCTCGATGCGCAGGGGGGCCCTCTAGTTGTGAGACTGTGAATCGGAGGGCGCATGGGGTCCTCTTACTGCGCATGGCTTCCTGGGCACTTTTCCGCGAGCAGTACTGCAGTGGAGTTGCGCGCTCAGACAAGCCGCCGCCCCCCCCCCCCCCCCCCCCGGAGATCTCATTGCGTCTCGGGAAGGCATGTCTGCATATTCAAGCCTGACAGAGCATGCGGGTGATTTGCAGAAAACGATGTTGGCAGATGCTGGAAATACTTTAAGTGGGCTTTCTAGACAGACGGAAGTGGTTGGATGAGATATTAGAGGGCCAGAACCGTATGGATACGTGCAGAATCGTAGCGAAAGGGAGATGCTATTCCACTACGTACTTCACGAAATGTCACGCACGTCGAGCACTTCGGGCCAATCGTTCAGCACTTCAGGGTACGGTGTCGGATTGCGTTCGTTACCCGGGGCCGTTTCTGAAGTCTCGGGATACAGCTCACCGCGAAGTTACGAGGCGCCGCGGAATGGCACCGCGGGCTTTTTTGTCGACTGAGGGGAGCGCGGTCTCTAGCATTATCTTGCAAGTGGCGGCGTGAGTTGCTGCGGGGCCAAGTGCGCAATGCCCTCATCAATGGCTTTGAAGTTTTTGTCCTTGTAAGGAGTCACTACGCGCGCTTGGGCCGCTGCCTCTCCCCCTCGCGCAGCGCGAAGATGCGCGGCGAGGGGTCTCCGGCGCCTGGCCGGCTATGATGCTTATCAGACGCCTGAAGCCTCACCAGTCGCGGGCAGCTCGCCCGAGTTGGCGCGCCCAGACCCCGCGCGCGACGTTCGGCGCAACGGGGGCCAAAGAGAGGCTTGAGCGCGAGCCTCGGCTTCGGGGGGGTGCCCCGACGGCGTCTGCGTCTCCGTGGGTGGCCCAGTCGGCTCGGGATCTACAATATTCTTTTGAGAGATGAAAACTGTGTTGTTGAGGGGCTTCTTTTGGATTGAGAATTCCGGCGGGCCTAAATTTCGAGCTCGAGAGTTTGGCGCGCGAGCCTCTCCCCCTGGAGCGCGCGCGGCCAATGCGGAACAGGTGGAGGGCACGGGGGGGGGCCAGAGGATCGAGGAGGCAGGCAACTACAGGTGCAAGATCATAGACGACAAAGGCAAGCTAGGCGATGCAATCTGTCAGGATCCCAAGGCACTGTCGACAAACATGGGGGGCGCGTCATCACGCGCGCAACCTGCCGGCTGCACTGGCGCCAAGTAACGCAATCATACGCGCGTAGGCGCATATTCTCAACGCGAGCGACCGCAGCGCGGCATCTTCTTGCGTCGGTTCCCAGAGGAAACTGTCCAACGAGGGGGCCCACCTCGCTGTCGGCGCACGCGCCTCAAGTTACGCACGTTTGCCCAGTGGGGACTTACAAGGGCGAGTCTGAATGATGCGCGCGGCGATGCGTGCCCACATCTACCAGGGGAGCTACAGCCTTTTCGAGAACGCCCCCCACCCTCGGAGAGCCAGCCCATCATTGGCGCGCGTGGCCAAGCCCGGTCTCTCGACGACGTCGCGGCTCAGCCCGTCGCAGGCACGCAGGGGGCCAGCCGCCCCAGATGCTGAAGGGGGGCGGCGGCGGGGGCAGCAAGGACAGCAAGGGCGACAACCGTCGCGGCAAGCTGCTCCTGCTCGCGGCGGGGCCGCTGCTCGCAACGTCTCGAGGCGTGGCGGGCCTGCTGGCGGCGGCGCTCACCGCGCGCGAGATGTCGTTCCACTGTCCCACAGCAGCGCCGGCAGTGGCGGGCAAGGCGCACGACGCCAAGAGCGTGGAGCTGTCCGAGAAGGCCAGGGCGGGTGAAGCCGTCACGCAGGCCACACATCGCGGCCGAAGGCCGCCGCGTCCGCGCATCTTCGCGGCAGGGGCCCACTGCGTCACGACGCGGCAGCGCGCCGAGAGGGGGGGGCCGAGAAGGAGAGGCAGCTCAACGCGGAGGCGGAGGATTTCTGGCAGAACGCGGTGTCGAAGGCCCCAATCGCGCACATCGGCTGCTTCGTCAAGCATGCGGAGCCCATAGTTTTCCAGGTGAGCGAGAGCGACCAGCGTTGTCTGATCTTCGTGCATTTCGACGCCAGCGACATGGTCGGCCAGAAGGGCCAGAACCTGTTCCAGAGGGTGATCGATATCGACGGGGGGGGAGAGGCTCCGCGGCGCGGCGCCAAGGGGCCCACCGAAGAAAGAGATTCCTTCGGCAGCCAACGGCAACTGATGTGGCAAGGGAGTGAAAGGTTGGCCTCCTTGGCGCAGCGAGGATTGATTGACCCAGCAGTAGCGGCGAGGGCAATTTCTTGTGAGCGCAGCATGTCGTCGTATCAGCAGCCAAAGTTGGTGAGCATTCCCAGTGTATTGCTGCCACGGAGAGGCTCTGGCCGTGGGAGGCGGAGGGCGGTGAGTCGTGGGCGGGGGAGGGGATAAGCTCCAACCAGCGAGAGCCAGCAGCAGAAGTAACACCTTTGCATGGCTGTCTTCTGCGCCGTTCGGATCGGCTCTCGCTCGAGGTCGCGTGCCTCAGAGGTGCCGACAGGCCAGTGCCTCACCTGAGGAGCGTGATCTGCAGTTCTTTAGTTAACGATGTGTGAGGGTAAGTTCCCCACCCACAGAATCCCATGTAAAGCTGTTGGCTGTTCCAGACAGTGGTGGATTCCTTGGGTTCGTCTCGTCTCGTCTCGTCTCTCTCCTCCTCCTCAAACTCCTCCTCCTCCTCCTCCTCCTCCTCCTCCTCCTCCTCCTCCTCCTCTTCCTTCTCCTCCTCCTCCTCCTCCTGTTCCTCCTCCTCCTCCTCCAACGCCTCTTCCTCCTCCTTCCCCTCTTCCTCCTCCTCCTCCTCCTCCTCCTCCTCCTCCTCCTCCTTCCTCCTCTTCCTCCTCCTCCTCCTCTTCTTCCCCTCCTTCTCCTCCCTCCTCCTCCTCCTCCTCCTCCTCCTCCTTCTCCCCCCCCCCAATCCTCCTCCTCCTCCTCCTCCTCCTCCTCCTCCTCCTTCTCCTCCCCCTCTTCTTCTTCTTCCTCCTCCTCCTCCTCCTCCTCCTCCTCCTCCTCCTCCTCCTCCTACCAAGTCATGGGAGCCTTGAGTGTCCTCGAGATGCCGTCTTTGGAATGCATCAGCGGGCGCTGGCGTGTAGTAGTCGATGAGGGCCCCGATTCAGCCTCGATTCCGCGTCGGCCAGCGTCGGTTCGCGGTGGTCAGCGTCGATTCGCGAGAGCCAGCACGATGACGTGGGAGGCTCCCGTGCGCTGCCACGGAAGATTGCACCAGGTCGCCTGGTCGGCTACGCAGCTCGTTGCATAGAGGGCCCAGCCTCTCAAGTAGTGGGGCGCTGGTGCTCCCGCGCGCCGGCTTCCTTCGCCGCTCGCGTGTCCCCGCCAGCCCATCCAGAGACAATCGCCAGGAGAGGCGTTCCAAATCGGCCCTTGCCTTCGAGGGTCGAGGGGGGGGATGACCCTTTTCTTCGGCGGGAGCAGGCGGAAGGCGGCGGAAGTAAAACATGCGCCCCCAAGACATGAAAACGTGTTTGGGTTCCGGGTCTCCGGAATCCGCCAGGAGAGTTGCCCTGATCAGGGATGTGTAGCAGCATGCAGTCACGCTCTGGGAGCCTCCTGGAGGCATCCTGGGAGGTCTTTGGGGCTCGCCTTGGGAGGCTCGGTGACCGCACGCAACTGTCTTGGGACGGTCATGGCGCCGCTTGGAGCAAGATTGAAAGCTATATTGAGCCATCTTACGCTATCTTGTGCGACCTTAGAGGCCATCCTGGGCTATATAGGGCTCATCTCGGACCATCTTGGATGCCCCAGCGCTCCGCGAGAGGCCCTCGCCAGACTCAGGGCGAGGGGGTAGGGAAGAGGAGGCTGGGAAAACTAAATTCTCAATCCACCAGCGCCCAAAAGGCTGGTGGGACCAGGGCTGGACCCAAACGGTGTTTTGGCCATCTCGTGGGCCGTTATGTGTTTCGTTATGTTTTGCAGTCGAGGCGAAGCGAAGGCATAGCGAGGAAAAGAACGCAGGAGCGAAAACGAAAAGCACCGTTTAGGTTCAGCCCTGGGTGGGATGCCTCGGCGCCTTGAGGAGGAGGAGGAGGGGGAGGTGGGAAGGGGGAGGAGGAGAAGGGGGTAGGAGGAGATGGAGGAGGAGGAGGAGGAGAGGAGAGGAGTAGAAAGGAGGGAGGAGGAGGAGGAGGAGAAGAGAGGGGGGGAGGGGGAGGGAGGCGGAGGAGGGAGGAGGAGGAGAGGAGGAGGAGGAGAGGAGGAGGAGGAGGGAGGAGGAGGAAGAGAAGGAGGAGGAGGAAGAGAAGAAGAGGAGGAGGAGGAGTAGGAGGAAGGAGGAGGAGTGGGGGAGGGGGAAGGAGGAGGAAGAGGAGGAGGAGGAGAGGATGAGGAGGTTCAGCCCTGGGTGGGATGCCCTCGGCTCCTTGGCCAATCAAGCGACGTGGCTGCTGCACCGAAGCCCCCTCGAGGGACCTGCCGGTTTCGACGCCCCTCTCGAGAGACCGTCGACGCGATGGTTTTCCAAGGGGAAAGAGGAATACAGCCACCTCCTCTCCTCCTCCTCCCCCCTCCTCCCCTCCTCCTCCCTCCTCCTCCTCCTCCTCCTCCTCCTCCTCCTCCTCCTCCTCCTCCTCCTCCCTCCCCCCCTCCCCTCCCCCTCCCCCCTCCCCCTCCCCCTCCCCTCTCCCCTCCCCCTCCTCCTCCTCCTCCCCCCTCCTCCTCCTCCTCCTCCTCCTCCTCCTCCTCCTCCTCTCCCCAGATGTGGCTGGCCAGAGGGGGTCGAGGCTGGGTCGTGGGACGCCTCTCGGTGGCGACGGCACGGGGCGAACGGCCCGGGGGCGAGCACTACACGCATTCGCCGAGGGGCCTCGCCGAGGAGCATCGGCTTCTGGATGCGTGTGCTGCCATGTGTTGTCCTCCCTGGGGTCATTCGCCCTGCCGTCGCCTCCGAGCCTCTGCCGTCCTCGGCGCGCTGCTGGGGTCCTCTGGGGGCCTCCGGGGGGCCGTCTGGAGCCTCGGGGGGGCCCCTCCTGCCCGCGGGGAGCTCCTCCCAGGAGCCTTTGGGGGGGGGCGGGGCTCTTCTCGGCCCGCCTCGGCGAGGGCCCCCCCGCCTTCCAGAGAGAGGGTTTGCCCCCCCCCCCCCCCCTCCCCCTCTCGCTCCCCCTCGCTGCGTGCCTCGCCTTCGCCATATGCCTCGGCCTCGCTTTCTGCCTCGCCCTCGCCACGTGCCTCCCCCCCCGCTCTCCCCCTCGCGCTGTGTGCCTCCTGCTGCGAGCCGCCGGGACACGGCGGGCCACAGGGGGCTTCCGGTCCCGCCGCCGTGCGCCCGCGTTGCCCGCAGGCACGCCTCATCCTCTGCCTGTCTCTCTCTCTCTCTCTCGCTCTTCTCGCTCTTCTCGGCGGCGAGCGAGGGGGGCTCCTCAGAAGCCCTCGCGGCTTCTGAGAGGTTGCTTGCGTCTTCGGGGAAGGCTCAGAGCACTTCTCGGAAGGTCAGGGGGGACTTCCGAGCTTCCTGCGAAGGCCTTCTCCATCTCACTTCCCCTCCGGGCTCGCCGCCAATCTTCCTCCCCGGGACAGGTTCGGCCAAGGGACATCGAGTTTCACCGCTGGGCGTTTCTTGCCCGTGCTGTTCCGAGGCACCAGCTCGCTTCTTCCTCCACATCCTCTTGCTCGTCTTCCTTTTCGTCTCACCACCCCCTCCTCCTGCACCGCGCGCGGCGCTGCGTCGCATAGTGCCATGAATTCGACAAATACCACACAAGTCAACATCAGTAGAGAGTTTTGAAAAGCGCGCCACATTTCGAGC